GATCCTTCAGGATAGCGATCGCGGGTTGCTGTAGGTTCTGTCCCTCTGGAGTCGGATGCAGGTTGTTAGAAACAGGTGCTTGAACGTGAATTCCTCCTTCGTGCCTTTTACATAATACACTTGGTAAATTTGTCCGGCTTCAGAAGTTTGGGAGATCATATGGCACTTCTGAGATGGGTGCCCACAGCATGTGACCATCCTTCAGGCTCTCTGGCATGCTTCCTTCGGAGGCTCAAGATGTACAGAAGAAAGGGTGAAGGAGCCCAAAGCTGGGGCAGCTGCCTTAGTCTTCTCGTAAATGGTTGCAGAGGAATGTTCACTTCTGAAGAGGTGGGAGATTGAGCTTCGAGAGCAAAGTGTGGAGTCTGGAGCTGTGAGGTGCTGGGGGGAGCAGGAGACATTGGGCGTTGTAACGTCCCTTCCTATGACTTGGACCAGGAGCAGTTCTGAACTCATGCGTGTTTTTTTCTTTTTCCAAATCCTAATTTGACAGGATCAAAACAGTTGATATGTAGGCCTCTGTCAAGACAGGATATCTTCTCTTACTCTCAAACCGTCTCTGGTTTGGAGGGGAAAAGGATTTATTTTGAACTTAGTAACAAGTCGTGTTGTCATTCTCCTGGTACTGAATGTTCACCTTATGTCAGTCAACATTACTGGAAAAAGAAGTCTGTTGGCACTTTTTTCTTGGAGATTCATTGAAGTCTTCCCCTGTGCTTGCTTGGTACAGCAAGTGTAACTTGCCTATCAAGATTAAGTCTAAACTCCTTCCAGAACTGCTTCAGATTCTGTTTGCTTTACAGAAAGCTAATTTAGTGCTTAAAGGGATGAGCTGGACTGGATTGGGAATTTAGAGCTTAAGAACTTCAGCGGAGAGCTCAAACCTTCCTGGCTGGGGGGGAAGTCTGTTAATCCTTTCTCTCTGAAACCTAGCTGTTTGCGTTTGGTGGATGTGGAGCAAAAGTATGATAATTTCTAGTCTGCTGGTCTGAAATGGGTTTGATACATGATGTTCCTCACAGCAGCGAGGAGAGTATCTACTCCTTGCTACAGGGGTTAGACCAAACTTGATCAGCTATGTGGTCTATCCTTTATAACAGCTCTGTTTGCAAGGAACTGCTGAAACCAGAGGAGGTATTGCCTATAACAGGTTCTGATAGCAAAGTCTCCTTTCCCCCTAAAAGGGGGTGGGAGAGCATTGACTCTTCTCCCTTCCTGCTTTGGCCAAAAAAAAAAAAATAAAAAAAAAAATCCTTTTTGGAGCATCTGTGAGAGTCCTAGGAGCATAGCCCTACTTTTTTGGGCAACTGAAATAGTTCTATAGATGAACCTCAGCAAACGAGTCTCATTCTGCCAGGAGTTGCCAAAAGATACCACGTTCCAGAAATAGCATGACTTTGAGTAGATGGAAAGCGAGAAAGGCAAAGATCAAAGCTGCGGTAAGGGTAAATGGTAGCGGCTGGCAAGAGTTCCCAAGGTCAAATATATTTGAGGCTATGTATCAGCTCCTCCCGACAAGGGTGACCTGGTGGGACTTTCGGAGGAGCCTACTTATCAGTCATCTACGGAAATCCCTGGGCTTTGAGAAGGCAATTCTGAGGCTTAATGGAAAAGACCTCTTTTAGATTATTGCTGGACTAGTGGTGTTGCATCTTCTCAAGCTGCTTAATTATTACCAGATATCTTGAACTGCTTTGGCTAACTTCAGGAGCTTCGAGCCTTTCTTGTGGAATTTGTTTCACCTAAGCCATGGTATCTTCATCTTAATCCCAGTACAATAAAGTGGTAACTGTCTGAAATGCAACCAGAATCCAAATTGGTCTTAAACCCAGTTGAAGCTGGGAGCCAACTTTTACTGGAAGGATTTAGGGAGTAACGAGCAGCCAAATTGTTTTCATCCGGTTACACAAAACTCATTAGATAAACCTGTTTTAGAAGGGGCAAGGATGTAGCAAAAAATCTACTTCTCGCCAGAACAGAGCTCTCTTAAAAAGCAGTTGCTTGGGCATTGCTTCTTTTTCAGGAATAACTTCATTGTCAAGCTCAGCCGACGCAGTGCTCAGTATGTGCTTCAGAGTGGTTTGGGATCTTAGTCCCTCTGAGGTCCAAAATGTTTACCTGGGAGAGTGTGTTCAGACTAGCGACGGATGGAGGGGAGAAAACCTCCCTTCCTTACCTGACTGTTGTTCAAGTTCCTTTGCCCAGTTCTGTGCCAAGATAAACTAGTAGTGTGAGCAGTTGAGAGCTGCCTCTTCGAAATAATAAAACAGTTGTGTAGTTGAAAAATACAGCATACCAAAGGATCAGCTGACTCTGGAGGCCGTGGGCTGGATGTGGGCGTTTGCACCTTCCTGGCATTGCAGTCCCAACTCCCTGCTTGTGCCGAGAGAATTGCACCTCCTGGGCTGTCTGTCCCTGGGCCGTCTGTCCCGCTCACACCACGGGGCACATCTGCAGAAGCAGTTGAACCTCTGGTGTCTCTTGCACGGTGCTAAGCTCTCTAGGCAGCATGCATTGCCCAGGCTGACATCTATTTTGTTTCCTCAGGGGAGAAAGGTAGAAGCAAGCCAGATGGCTTTCTGTAGGCTAGGTGTGACCCACATTCTGTAATTGGACCATATGGAGACAGATGCGTATGAAGTCTGGCTGCGTTCTTTATTCCTTGTCACAAAACACAGCTTCCTGAGCTGTTTAAAAGCTCATTCTAAAATACTTCAGCATATTTGGGCTGAATTACTAATTCCTACGGGTTAACTGTAGGACAGTGATTAAACCTTCTCAGTGAATACATATTTTCTGTGAAATGAATTAACAAGCCCTGGGAACTCCTACATCTTAGTGTTTCAAGCAGCATGTCTTTGACAGAGAATGTACAGCTTCGTAGTTGACAGAATAAGTTGTAGTGGTTTTTTTTTTTTTAATAGATGCTTTGAAGCAGGGTTATAAAGAACTTGTGCATTAAAATGAAACCATTGAAAATCTCAGCTCTAAGTAGGGAAACATTGGTGGTGCAGTGTATTTGTGAATCAGTGTCTCACCAAGTTTTGATTAAGGGAAACTTCATTAGTGGCGCCAGTTTGATAGCAATTGCAGTCCTGACCATGGTTCTAGAGCCTAATTTGCCCAGGAAATTTGTTGTGTGGTACTGGACTAATGAGCCGCTTCTGTCAGAGTCCATTGGGGTTGCAGGGAAACTTCATTATACGGAGGAATACTCTTACTTCCAGCTGATGGAGTATTTTAAATAGTTCCAGACATAGCTCCATGTGCACAAACGGTATAAATATGGGAAACTTTTAAAATTCAATCTAATCTTGTTAAGATTGCTTTAAGATTGTTGTGGGGCTACTTTAGTCAATGGGTTTAATTTGGAAGTGATCCAATTAAGAATTATACCTTGTGGAGGCGGAAAAACATCTGTCAGGTCAGAACACAGTCATAGATCACAGGGTGCTCTTCAGCCTGCTGATTAAAGCCAACAAAACCCCCTTTTATCTGCTTCCATAATGTGACTGCTTTTATATAACGGATATACTTTCCTTCTTAAGGAGCATGTGCTTGGAATTCATGAAACGGATGGCTAGAGGTTAGATAAGCTTAAAATGGCATGTCTGAGATGATCAGGAGACCATTTCCAAGTTGAAGATTCACATGCTGAAGTACTGATCACATGGTGAATCTTCAGCTTGAAAATACCGTAGAGAAGAGCACTTTAGAGTTGTCCTTGACGGTAGTATGGATTTAGTCGTCTTCAATTATTTCTAGGCAATCTCAGATGCTGCGTGTTGTAGTTTCTGCATGTTCTGATGGAGGGTAGTGTACAACTTTGAAAGCCTTAAAACTGAGTGAATCCTGAAAATACCAGATTAACAGTGTAAGGTATTTACTACGAGTAGCATTCATGGTGTTGTCCCAGACACCTTACTCTCCCCATCTTTCAGTATCCTTAAAAACAAACAAACAAAACCCCACCAAAAACCTAACTACACTTAATAGAATTCTTCTGTAAAATCTCCTGAACCACTCAAGTGGTCTGACATCCCTTCTTAGCGCCTCTGCTTCAGTTAAACGGGCTTTCATGAGAGATCGTGTCTTTCCATCCCAAGATTTTTAACTTGTACTCGCTAGCGCGCGTGTATGTGGGGAAGCATCGCCCTTCTGAGCCCGTGTGCTGTTTCATCACCTGGAGTTTCGGCAGGGGAGAGCCTTTCCCAGCAGAGTGCTTTACACTCAGCGTGGAGGGAGGAGACTTGGTGTAGACCAAGCGGAGTTGATAGCAGAAGTGACTCCTCTGCGAGCACTTGCTGCCTTCCCTCGGAAGGAGTGGAGGGATCCGTCGTGCTCGTGTGGCTCGCGGTTTTGCAGAGGACTCTGTTACAACCCTGTATGTTCCATACAGTAAGCTAGGATGTTTGTGTGAGCCTGGCCCTGTTAGCGATAGCTACCCCATAGTTCACGCTGTTTAAAATATAAAACCCCTTTCAGAAGGACTTTATCAAAGGGTACTGCTTAATATTACACAGTGGCTAGTTTGGCTCGCGTTTCACCCTCGTGTTCTTGCACCGTGTCCAATACTGGTCTTACCTATAGGTAAGATGAGAAAATCAAGAATGTTAAAGTAACCCTCATACTGGGCTGTGCAAAGTCAGTGTTTAGAGCTGAAAAATCTGCTGCCTTCCGTAATTACTTGGAATCTTAAAGATTCCTTAGAGGAAATGAAATGGTTTATTCTCTGGAGCGGCACAGCATCAAAATCTTCAGTGCTGTCAGTCACCCAGCACAAGCTTACTATTTAAAATAAAGCTGAATTACAGTTATTAGCTCTGTTGTGAGTATGGCTCAGTTTAAACTTGCCCTCCCTGCAGTGATAGAGAAAATAGTTGAGGATTGCTGTGGAGCAGGGGGTTATACTTTTCTTCCAAAAGGTTGTGTTCAAAACGAAAATTACCACATTTTCCCTCTTTGATTTTGCAGTGAGTGTTGGACGTGCGTTTATCTGCTGCTGTAGCCAGTAGAACTGCTAACGTTTTTTTAATTATTATTTTTTCAGTAAGTGGCCAGTTTCTCCTTACCTACTAACGTTGTACTCTCTCTTTGCAGACTGCCGTTGATGTTTTTAAGAGGATAATTTTGGAGGCAGAAAAAATTGATGGGGCAGCTTCACAAGGGAAGTCTTCATGCTCAGTAATGTAATTCCACTGCAAAACCTGAAAACACTGGGAATACATTCTACCTGAAGAAGCAAAACTGCCCATTATCTTTAAGGATAAACTATGCTTCTTTTTTTTATTTTTTTTTTCTTCTGTTAACCTGAAAGATAAACAGTTGGTTTGGAGCCTTTCTCTTCAGATTACGTTAAACTCGACTCCTGTGCAAATGGCTTCACTTCCATTTTCAAATTTTAAGCAATCATATTTTCAATTTCTATATTGTATTTCTTAATATTATGACCAAGAATTTTACTGGCATTAATTTTTCAGTGTAGTTTGTTGGTTAGAATAATCATCAAAATGATGCATATTGTTACACTACTATTAACTAGGCTTGGATATCAGTGTTTCTTTGTGTTAAATGTATACTTGTAAATAAAATAGCTGCAAACCTTAAATATTCTGTTTATAATTTTTTGTTGATTACTCCATATCAGCTTTTTTTTTTTTGTGAAAAATGTTCACCTGCTGACCTTAAGAGGAGGTGCAAGATCCGTGGAGCCAGCAGATAGTCTGACTCTTGCTTGGGAAGCTGGTTGTGAGCGATCCGAGCCATGTTTGCTACCAGAACCGCAGGCTGGCCGAGTAGCTCAGTGGTGCTTTGTGCCCGTTCGTGGGAAGGAGGCACAAGCGACACCTTTGATTTGGAAGGGAAGGCTTGCGTTTTCAGCCAGACAACCTGCACTGTATTTTCCCTCCGTAACTAAGAGTTACGGAGTAAAGGGTACACGGATCTGCCCCAAGTAATGGGCTGGTAAACGCCTGCGCTACAGACTGTTGACGTGGGCTTGTAACTAGGAATGCTTTCAGGATGGAGTGGATTTATCCAGGTCACAAGGATAGACTTGTTAAGAAAACAAAAATGTCATTTTAAAATAAATTGCATCTCCCAAACCAATGGATGTGGATTGTTGATCGTGCATTTCTCTGCTTCTGCACCTGGACAGCACTGGTACAGGTGAGCGGTCTCCTGGCACCTGGCTGTTCACAATGTCGGGCTCCCAGCGCGGCGCTGGCAGCTTTTCCCCTCACCAGTTGCAAGTTTTTGCTTGGCTTTTGGACTAGAGGCTTAACGAGCCTTAATCTCTAGAAACAAACTATCTGGAAACAAACTATTTCAACTATATATTTAAAAAAATGTGCACTTAACCTACTTTGTATTTAAAAATGAAACAGACCCCAAAACAACAACAAACGAGGCTGATTTGGGGAACAGTTAAATGAAGTGTTCCTTATGCATTTTTGTGTCCATTTGAAAACTTGATTTCTGGCTGGAGGAAAATGAAAGGGAAACTTGCAATGTTTTTGCAACCAGAATTAGCTTTTGCATTTCGGTCTGTGCTAAAAGATACAAATTCAGCATGTCTCATCTCTTCATTTCTTGTACAGTGGTTCCCACATACTACATAGAAGATTGCCTAAACCCCTCAATTAACAGTGTATGTAGAAAATTTAATATTTCCTTTGGTCCCCATGAGATTAACTAGCTTCTTGGCAAAAAAGTTGCCTTTTTTTCCTCCATTTAGGATATTTCCCAAAGTTTCTGAAAGCTTGTTTGTTGTCCGAGTTTTGATACCTTGTGCCAAATACAGCTTCTGTAGCTGGATGATGGTCACAGGCGATAGCTCCCTGAAGTTCAGCAGAGTCAGAGTGCTCGTTCTGGGAAACCAGCGCACCTTGCATTTCGGAACCGGGCTGATGCGGGGCTGTGCGGCAGGTTTCCTTCACAAGACCTGCAGCGCTGGAACAAGGGTGGTTTGGCTGATAATGAAGTTGCTGAGGATTCAGAAAATGATCTTCTGTGGAACTTGGGGCAATGTGCATCTCTTTGGTAGTACTCTTCATTGCCTAATCGTGAGGTGGCAGATGACTTGTTGCATGGGCAGAGTCTTCGGCATTGCATCGTGGACACAATGTCATGTGGTCTATGTCAAAAGGTAGAAGTTGTGGAATACCAGAAATCTCAAAGACCACATTTACTCAATTTTTTTTTTTCGTAAAATAGTGGCTGCATGTGTACTGGCAATCAACCTAAAGCCTGAAATAGCTGCTGCATCGGTGCTTGAAGTGTGCCAGCTGCTGAGGCTTTAAAGGGGATGGATGAGGAAATGTGCAACTTGATAGTCCTGGGATAATCGAGGCCCTGCCTTCCAGAGGTGAGGCTTTTCAGGAGGGCTTAAAGGCAAGCGCAGGTTCTCTGGGTGATTTACAAAGGGAACTTCCCAGGCTTCGCCTGCTCGGCACTGAGAGCATGTACTGCTCTCGCATTTTCTGTAATAGCTGAAGAATTGAATTCATCAACATCCATCGTTTCCTTTCTCCTCTTGCTGGCTCATCCAGTAAGAAATGTAAATTATTCCGCTTGTCTAAGCCTTTCTCTGCTAATAAGATCTAAAGACCAGCCATGTGCGATAGTCTTGCAGTTTTAATGAAATGTGTAGTCAGGTGTGATCAGGGAGCTACTTGTCCTTTGCTGTACAGGGATTTCAGCGGGCTTCTCGGGATGGCACCTTCCAGCAGCTGGAGTCTAATAGAGGCTGGGGCAGCCTCGTGCTTCTTTATGCTGACTGAAGAGCTGGCACGGGTTAGGTTCTTCACCGTGAGAGCCCTAGAATGGGGCGGTGGGCAATTCTGGAAGCCCTGTATTCTGTACGGAAGCAAGAAATCGGTATCTAGCAAACTGCTGCTTGCCTGGAATGAATGATGAATGTATACAGCCTCGTCTGGCAGCTGCCCTGATCCTCCGGAGGCTTCTGGAGGATTGTGATAAATGGTGCACGGATTAAAAGGCAAGTCACGAAGGAAATAAGTTCTCTGGCCCAGGCTAGAAAAAGTTTGATATACACGGAATGGGGCCCAGCCTTATTCTTCAGGGATGATCATTGGCAAAGGTAAAAGTGCAAAGATCCTTTTCCTGTTGAGGAAATGAGCAAAACTTAACTGCCATAAGTCACGTTAAATTCCCATTGACTTGCATGGATTTAAAATGTGCTGTTCCGGAAGCGATTCCTGCCATGCTTGTGCTCCTGTCCAACTCCTTGCTTTGCTGCGTGAATACTGAGAGACCTCTCGGTGTCCTGAGTCCAAGAGGCTGAGCTGCCCGTCTCCCAGCCTGCCGGGCACGGAGATGCTGAGGAGGAGGAACGCGGTGGGGCAGATGCAGCTCAGCAAGTGGAGGATGGACTGCGGGCAGGATACGTGATCCTTCTTTTTCCTGGTCTTGTTTCTGTGCATAGCAAAGTTTATCCCTGCCTGATTAACTCCACAAGGGGGAAGGCTTGGAGGCAGTCTGCCTTGGGTCTGTGGAGTCTTCTGCCCAACGCTTCTTCCCAGCTTCTGTCAAGGCTTGCTGAATGCATGCCGGAGAAGAAGAGAAGCTGGAAAAGTGTTGTTACTGCTCCCTTGTGTCTGCAGTAGCTGCATTGTAGTATCTGGACCAGGCAGCCTTATGTCGGTCCCTAGCCAAGGGCAGAGGAGCGTTGGCTGAAGTCGGACTTTGCTGAGGAAGTTCTTGCAGCATTGGCGGCAATGGTGAAGACTTCAGGTGTTCTGTTTTCTAGTTTCTTTGAACAGAGAAGTTTCTATGTCCAAACTTGCACCCTGGAAGTGATCAAGGACAACTCTTGCAGTTTCTGGCACAGTTGAGCGTGAAACATCCAGCTGGGTCTATCCCAGCCCGCAGCAGTGTCCTTTGAAGTGCAAGATGAGCAGCAGCCCGAAATGAGAAGGGTAGCCTATGTCATGGTGCGTATTTTTGTGGTTTCACCTTCTTTTAAAGAAATGTGCAATCTTACGCCTTTGTTACTAAACGATTTGTGCTGCTGCTCCATGCAGATATCGCAGGCCGCTGCGCCGCGCGGTCCGAGTGCGGTGCGGGCGGTGACGACGCACCCGGGCTGGTTGGGCTGATCCTGCTAATTAGCGCTGCTGCACTGTAGCCTCTGGAGAAAGAAATCAACAGGTTCTAATTAGTCCTCATGTAACCAGCACTGCTCCTCTTCAGAGCATTTTGCTGATACTGACTAATCTTCATCACCTCATCTAATAAGGTCAAAATTACTTTTTCCTGGTCTTGTTTCTGTGCATAGCAAAGTTTATCCCTGCCTGATTAACTCCACAAGGGGGAAGGCCCTTTGACAGCTGGGGAGGGGGAGTGAGAACCTTTGCCCAGATGCCTTCAACTTGTTATGGGCACGGCGAAAACGTGGCTAAACTCAGCCTGGGTGACGGGTGCCCTCAGCATCCAGCTTTTTCTTAAGCGTCCTTAGGTTTCCCTACTGGAACCTTTCCTTTTTGAAATAAGTTGAAAATTGAAAGGATTTCACCCAAAACGCTAGGCTTTCTGATGTTTTCCAAAATGAAATCCCAGCCCCATCTCAGTCAGATCCTTGCTGTGTGATGAGCTGCACTAATACTGATCCCTAGACAGAATATTACTGAAAACAAGCTTTTGTAGATTTTTTTCAACATCCATCTCTAATGCTGCTAACAAATATTTGGCTAAACCTGACCAGCAGGTCCCAACTCCAAGGTGAGGAGCTGTTTTTTCCTAGCAGGAACCTGGCCGGATCTGAACTGTCATTCTGTGACAGGGTTTGCTCAGGCACAAGGAGGTTTTTTGGAGTCTGTACCCACACGGGGCGACGCAAGGTGTTGCGTGGCACGGGGACGGGTGGTGGATGGCCACCCTTGGTAGAGATATTGCAGAGACTCTACGTCTCGGTGCATCCATGATGAAGACAACGCGTTGAACCCAAAACCATCACCTGGCAGCTGATTCCCATTTCCAGCAACAGGTGAGGTATTCTGCCAGCAAGGGTGTGGGTTGGAAGGTCCTTTCTCTGCTTGAATGGTTTGCAGAGATGTTCTGCAGTTAGCGTAACCAGCCTCCCCAGCAGCTCCGGGAGGCAGCATGTGGCGTACCCAGGCGCTGGGAATGGGCTCATCACCAGCAGAAACGAGTGCTTTGGCAACTGGTGAGAGGTGGGCTAGATCTTAATCAAGCAATGTGGATTTAATATAGAAACTCTCCCTTGAGTCATAAGGATGGTTTCTCGCTCTGAGGTCTGTTGCTGCTCCAAAGTGGCCCACAAGATGTGCTCGTCCTTTTCAGCAGCGAGCCAAAAAATTTTCCATGGGAAGAACCATCTTCCGCGGTTGTTCCATATCTAATGAGCTGGAAGTATTTCATGCTGAGGTATGTGAAGAAATCTGGGAGCTTTTTAAAGCAAGGTGGCATTTTGAAAGCCCTGAGATAGGGATGTTTCCTGTGCTGGGTCTTGCGCTGCTTTGCAAATACTAAAAGCTCCTCCAGAAGCTGAAGCGTGGCCCTTTCAGAGGCTGTGGTGCAGCTCCTTGGCTGTTGCTCACTTTTATATTATTTGGGGGGGGGG